GTCTTTCCGCTCAGGGTCAGCTTGTAAATTCTCCTCTTTACCCTTGATGGCCCTGCTCTGAGTCCCCGCTACACTGCGATCTTGTTGGTAATGTATTCTTCCAGTTCCCACCTGGTTATGCCCCTTAGCTCTTTTCAGTCAGCATAAACATGCCCCCTTGATCACCTAAACCCAGAACAGTAGGTCATACCCTCCACAGCCCTAAGAACTCACATGGAGTCAGACACAAAGCATGTGTTCTGTGCATGCTTGAAGAACAAAATATTTTAAACATAATGAACAACTGTCCCTCGACATATGGTATGCTTTGGAAGTATTTCATTCTTTTAAAAAATTTGGGAAGTATGCTTATTTATCATGTCTGTGCATGTATGTACACATGTGTGTAGAAGTGATGGCATAACCTTTGAGAGTTGATTCTCTCCCCTCTAATGTGTGGATTTCTTCCCTGGGGTTGAACTCAGATGTTCAGACATGATGGCAAGCACCCTTAACCACTGAGCCATCTTGCCAGCCCATATATTTCACTCTTCATCTTTGGTCAGGTGTTGACCTTGGCACAGGGCATACAGAGACACAAGGGGTCAAAACAAGGTTCTTCTTTCAGAGCACAGATCTCAGTGAGGGGATTGCCAAAGAATAAATGCATGAGGTCAGAGGCCAGGAGCTACTAGGTGATGTGAGGAAATGTTAAGCAAGGAGAAACAGAGTCATTGGGATCCTGCTTGAAAAGAACCATTAAGAAAATTCTCTCCCAAAAGGAACCTTTAGGTAAAAGTCAGCACATGATCCAAGTCCTGGCATTTGGTACCATTAGAGTGTTTAATGTTCAAAGCCTTAACTGGCCGCCAGTCTCTCCTCCCTCCTCTGCTGTCTCCACACGCTTCCATTTCTTCATTCATAAAATGTCGCTCTCCACTTTTTTATAGCTCATATGAGGATCAGCTAAGATGATCATCTGGAGAATTTGGGTCACCTCTAACGTGTCATATCTGCCTCCATTAGATGCCAGCCTCTATCTGGGGGCAGGTAAGCCAACTAGAGGAAACAACCAACATAGAAAACTTTCTACATCTCAGGAGTGTGTTAGCACAGCCCAGAGGCTACCATGAAGCAGCAAAGGGCAAAGACCACATGGTGAGGCTGAAGTGGGTGTCGGCAGCTAAGCCACTGTAGGCTTGGTGTGATGGTTAATGGCGTCACCTGGACAGGACCTAAAATCACACAGGAGATTATCACCTTCTGGGGATGTCTCTGAGGGATCCTCAAGACTAGGCTGAGGTGGAAAGACCCAACCTAAATATGGGTATCACCAAGCCATTAGCTTGACTCCTGGACTGAATAAAAAGGAGGAAAGTGAGCTGAGCACCAGCGTTCCTCTCTCTCTCTGCTTCCTGGATACGAACACACTGTGACTGCTGGCCTCCTTCTCTCAGCACAACTTCCTGCCTTGATGGAATGCACCTTCAAACTGTGAGACGAGTAAACCCTTTCCCATTAAGGTGTTTCGTCAGATGTTTTATTGCATCAAGGAGAAAAGTCATTTAAGTATTTGGTAAGGACATGACAGGGACAGCTAAACTGTTAACAGAGAGTGATGCATTGGAAGCCCATCCACATCTCCTGACCTGAGGCTCAGACTTCTTCTGCTTGAGGACACTGTCATCCCACATGACCCACTGAGCTCCTTCAGATCCCAAGACTGGTAAGAGCATCATCCAAGACCTCTTTCACCAGTTCTGACCAAGGACATTGGTATTCTCATATGAACAACTGACTCTGGAGATTCCCTGAAGGAAACATTGTCTTACTTACAAACAAAAGGCTAAATAATTCCTCAGTCAAAGCAATAGCCCGCTTATATGTAAGGTTCTCGGCATGAGTCTATGCTATCAGCAATTTCTACACAAATTGCTACATTCCAAAATACTATTCTATTTCATTAGATTATTATAATGTTCTGGGCATTGATGGTCATTAGCCTCAGAATCCTCATTGCACACTTAAGGCTTTCCCTAAGTAATGCAAAGTGGGTTCAGAAGAATTATAAGATCCATGGTGTCACTTACACACACACACACACACACACACACACACACACACACACACACACACATCTCTTAGACACACTAGTAGCCATAGCCATTCAGGAGGCAAGATATTCCTACCAGAAATGGTGTTTATAGAATTTCTGGTCTGTTGAAGTAATAGTACTTTCCATTGGAATGCCTAAGTGAAGGTCGGAGGCACCTGGTTTGAGTCACTCCCTTAATCAGAAGCCTGCTGTGCCCTGGCTGGTACCTAACCAAGGAATCCTGGGGCAACAAACAGCATTAGAGGGCATGGGTGCTCCCAGGTTCCTGAGACATTCAGCCTGGCAGGAGAGGGCCCCTCTGCAGACAAGCTCTGACCTCTAAGATGGCCTGGCTGCCACAGACATGCCATGCATAGGTGGAGTACTATGGTGCTGAGATGGATGTCAGAGGAGTAAAGGAGACACCCCATAGTCTGTGTTCAGTCTGCCCCCTAAAGAAAATCTGGGCTCTCTTATGAGCGGCTTATTATTTTTTGATTATAGAGACTGTGGTGGCTAAGTTTGGTTGCCAACCTGACAGGATTTGGAATCACAGAGGAAACCTCTGGGTATGTCTGTGACAGAGTTTCTCAATTTGGTTAATGGAGGTACAAAGGCCAACCCTAAATGGGACTGTGCTAGTCCCTGAGATTGGGTCTAGGGATGAATAAGAAGGAGAAGCAGAGCTAAGCATCAGCATTTATCCAGCCCAGCCCCAACCCTGCTTCCTGACTAGGAATACAATGGGACCAGCTGCCTCAATGCTCTTACTGCGCTGCCTGCCCTCCATGATGGGTAGTGTTCTCAAATCCTGACCCGAAATGAAACCTTCCTTCCTTGAGTTGCTTTTCTCAGATATTTTGTCAAAGCAATAAGAAAGGCAAGAAATACACAGACTTGGCCAAAGGAAAACACAGGAAGAGCAAATAGAGAAAAAACATAAATTCCAGGTAAAGGAAAGCACTAATCTATAATCAAGAAGGACAGCCATGATGTTGAGTTATTCTTTTATTCATAAAGATTTGTTTTTATTTTATGGTTCGCTCTCTCTCTCTGTCTGTCTGTCTGTCTCTCTCTGTGTGTGTGTTGGAAGGAAATATGGACATCGTATGTGTGCAGTGCTCAAAGAGGCCAGCAGAGGGTGTCAGATCCCCTGGAACTTGAGTTATGTACAGGTGGTTGTGAGCCACCATGTGGGTGGTGGGAACTGAAAATACTCTCCAAGAGTAACCAGTGCTCTTAACTGTGGAGCCATCTCCCCACCAATGAGCATTATTAACTGCAACTAAGTTCTTACTAAATAATCCAGGACACTGACCTAAATATTATCCACCTGGTCCTCAGATAGACTTCATAACTCCATATATCTGCCAAACGGCAGACATTTATGAATGACTTTTTTTTCATTTTCATATCTGAGAACCAAGTTGAAAAACATTGTCCACTACTTCTCATATCTACTCAAATTTTTCCTGCAATGCATACTTTATCACAGTTTTATGTTAAGAGCATCCCCAAAAGCTCATGTGTACATCACTGAGATCCTTGTGTAATGCCTTCTCTTCTAGCCTCTCTACATATTTTATCATCACACTTAATGCTTGTGGTAGGCACACCCAGTTCTCCTTGCTGCTACAGTTACCAAGACTTGAACTTCCCTGCACAACTGATTGCAACCCTGTCCACTGATCAGCAATGGTTGGTTCCACAGGGATCCCAGTGACTTGTCCCCAAGCTTCCAGTTGCCAGTGTCTGCTGTTTGTTCCCTGGTGGAAGCATTTACCCCAGTAATAACAGGACACATCCCAGAAGGCTGAGGACAGCAACTTTGGAAAGCTGCCCGGAATAACCACTGACTGGTCATAGACAAAAATCAAACAGCCAAGCAGGTGAGATGGTTCAGCTGGTAAAGGTGCTTGCTGCCAAACCTGATGACCTGGGTTCAATCCCCAGAGCCACGTGGTAGAAAGAGAGAACCACATCCTACAAGCTGTAACTTCCACACATGCATCATGACATCCCCCCACAAAAAATAAACAAATGCTGAGAATAATATCTCAGTCATGGTATACTATTGTATACTATTGAAGACTGATAGTTGTTACCAAGGAATATTCCAGACTATACTGGGGTAATATAGTACCTTTTATGGTTCCATGCTGGAGCACATCTTTTTCTATTGTTCTTATTGAGGCATCTATCCCTTTAATATCTAAGCTCCACAGACAGGAAATTCAGCTGCCTCATTCATTTTATATTACTAAGCAGAATAGTTCATGAGATTTAACACACATGTTTATTAAGTAAAGGAATTAGCAAAGAGTGGAGGATGAGAAATATAAGGAAAGGATGAAGCAGAGGAGTAGGAGGAAGAGGAAGAGAATGAGGAAGAGGAGGAGGAGGAGGAGGAGGAGGAGGAGGAGGAGGAGGAGGAGGAGGAGGAGGAGGAAAAGGCAAAGATGACTAGATGCTTTGCCAGGTGGGAAACATAGTTTTCTCAAAAAAAAAAGTTGGCATTTTTTATTGAGTTTTCAGCTTCCGGTTGCCAACAGCTAAACAGGTTTGGTCGATACAGCTAGATTTAATTTGGTTGGGTTGATTTTTAACCCGAGGGGGGAAAGGCCAGATTGACAGAATTTGGACTAAAAGACTACTAGGTGAAATTACCAGATAAAGTACAGGCTCTCTGGTAAATCAGTAAATATATCACATTTTTTTTAGCATAAGTATATCCTCAATATTACATGTGATATGTCCTGTGAACTATTTGGACCATATTTATAAAGATGACTCATTGCTCAGTTGAGATTCTGACTCAACTGAGTATTCTGTGTTTTTGTTTTCTCAGTCTGGAAGCTATACTCCTAACTGACCCATCACCATGGGGACAGGCCATGCAGGCGATAAAGATTTCATAGAATGCATATTTAAGAACAAGTAGCAATGGTTAGTATTTTCAATTACCATTCAGACTTATCATCAGGGGCATATTGTGGCTTAGGAATCTTTAGGGAAAATTAACTTGGGGACATACTTTGTTTAGCCAGTTTGAAGTATAAAAGTATTATCATCTAGCTTTAAGCTGGTTATTTCCTCTTAGCATGAGGGAAATTCTGTTCTGTTTCTCCTAAAATCTTAAACACAAACAAGTGCTATCTGAAATGGCCATGTGCAGACCCCCATCCTTGACATTAGGCAGAGCCCTTTAAGGAACTAAAGAGATGGCTTGTTGGGTCAAGTGTCAGATGCACAAGATGGAGGACATAAGTTCAGTTCCTAGAGTGCATAGAATTAAAAGCCAAGTACAGAGAAACTGACTTTTAATTCTGGTGCTGGAGAAGCAGAGACAGGTGGAACCCTGGGGCTCCCTGGGAAGCCAGCTTAGCCTACTTCTCAAGTTCCAGAATAGTGAGACCTTATCTGGAAAAAAAAGTCCAACATCAGAGTAATGAACATACAGTTATATTCTGCCTTCTACACACACACGCGCACACACACACACACACACACACACACACACACACACACACACACACACCAGGCACCCACACATACAGAAGAACATGGAACATGCACACAGTAAGAAGGTGCAGTTAAGAGAGACCAAACAAAGGTACAAACAGAGGAGAGAAAAGGGGCAAAGCAAAGTCACCCACAAGATATGCCAAGAGCAAATGGTAATTGTCAAAACTTGCCCGCTCATGGCCAGCCAACATGAGGCTAAACCTGACCTGAACAGCACATCTTCATAGTTTCACGGCTCTTGTGCCTAAGTCATGAAGTCTGGGGTCCTGAAAGTTGGCTTTGCACATTGCAGTTTTCTAATCATTTTGATTGCCACTTACAACAGTATCACCTGAAACCAACCTTAAAAAATAAAACATATTCCTTCACCATAAGTGGTCTGAAAAGCACGGGTCACAAAAACACACCGTTTCCTAATTTGTCTTCATTCCCATCAGCACACTTCTAGGGGAGAAAATAGGCGAATTGATTTGTATTCTGATTGCAATTGAAAGAATAAAGAAAGCCACAAAGCCCTGCCAAGGCAAACATGGCACTTCCGACGGAGGAAAAGAATTCCTCTTGTCTTTGTCTTGCCTCCTTGGCTCACTCTTGTCTGTTCTTTGCCCTGTGACCTCCACCGTCTTCCTGACCCCAGGGAAGACATCTCAGTGTTCAAAAAACAAAACACAACAACAAACCCCCAAAACAAATCGGACAGCACCGTGCCCCAGGGGACTGGCTGTGGTGGGATGGACTCTGGCTGGAGTCTCAGCTTTTCTCACATACGAAGTGCAGGAGTATTTAACCATTGCAAGCCACGTTCCGATCCCATATTGCACAGTGCTAGGATATACTCACTGCTACAATAAGATGAGTCTGCTTTGTGGGATCTGTGGGAATAAATTGGCATCCCTAGGGCTCACATCATTAGGAGGAGTCACCCCCATCACACCTGGTTGTGAGAACCCCAAAGAATTGATTCCCTTCATCTCTGTACTAGAAGATCCTGACCCAAATGTTTTGCCCTCTAGAGAGAGCATCCTCTTTTGTGGTGGGTGTGTGTATGTGTGTGTGGTGTGTGTGTGTGTGTGTGTGTGTGTGTGGTGTGTGTGTGTGTATGTGTGTGTGTAGTGTGTGTGTGTGTGTGTGTGTGTGTGTGTGTGTGTGTGTGCATGTGTGGTGTGCACATGCATGCCCCTGTGGACTCGTGGAGTTCATCAGGTAGCCTAAGGCTCTCCACAATATTTCTTTGAGACAAGGTCTCCCCTGTCTCATACTTCCCAGTGCTGGACTCATAGGTGCAGCCATGCCTGGCTTTCTCTGCGTGTCCTGGGGATCTGTCATCAGGCTTGTACAGTGAGCAGCTCTGTGTGCGGATATAATGTCAGTCTGATGCTCTGGGCAGTGCCTTGCAGACAGCTCACTCCTGGAAGTCTCTACTCCCATCATTCTCACAAGAGACTTCAGCATGCTGAACCCTTCTCTTATTATACAGTCATGAGACATAATTATCTCTTTTTCCTTCAGGAACTTTGTGACCAAAAGTAATGAGAGGGAGAGAGCTAAATATACTATTTACTGAGACCCCTAAATGCTAAGATCATAGACAAATAGTGGTCACTTAGAGATTCGTTATGGACCTATAGAATCTTCATTTTTAACAATTTAACCCTGAAAAGCTTAGCCACCTTGAGTGTGGTTATTTAGGAGGGAATGTAACTCAGGACCTATTTCATTCTCTATTACAACGTTTAGCCTTTCAGAGAACCAGCTTCCCTATAAAAACATGTACAAGGCTGCCTGTTATATAGGGCTAGTAAAACTAAGAGGTAATTAGTCCAAGCTACACCTCTAAACAACAGGAGTGTGGTTTTGCCCAGTTTGTAGAGCTCTGGATTAATTTAAACTAATTGTTTCTCTATTTCCCTCTGTGAGAGATAAACTTTAGTACTCATAAAGTATCAAGAAAGGAAGAAAAGCGAAGAGGTTGAGCAATCTGATCAGGACCATCAGTAAATACATGGTAATGCTCCAGTCGGAATTCAGGGAAGGTGGTCCAGTGTGCACTCCCCCAAGGAGCTCAGAGGATGCACCTTTGGATGGATTCTGCTCATCGTGAAAGGATTCCTGGGAAGAGGTTCTTTCATGGAGAAACTAGTGGGAAGCTAAACCAACCCATTTGCTGTCAGAGATGGGTAAGGGGTGACACGGGGGTGGGGGGGGTGGGAATGAGAGATAAAGCAAGGGGGTGACTTGTTCCCCTTTAAAAGACATGGCTGCATCCAGTATGCCAGTCAACTTTGCCCATCTCTTCCAGTCTTGCCCACGCGGGTTCCCTGTACTCAGCCTTTGGAGGCAGAGAGAATCTCAAGGAACCACTAGAACACATTTCTTTTTCTTTTAATGCCAAGTAGGATTCCTGAGAAGCTAGTGTCTTTTTACGTCTGGTGGGGAGGGTGACTGAGAGGGTCTCAGGATTAGCCACATGGACTCCAACAACCTCTCACAGGAAGAGTACTAGAGCATCCT